TAGCCAGGATGGTCTCGATCTCCTGACCTGGTGATCCGCCCGTCTCGGCCTCCCAAAGTGCTGGGATTACAGGCTTGAGCCACCGCGCCCAGCCGCAACCTAATTTTTAACACTATCGCTGTTTAGTAAAAGTAGTTACTTCCTCCAAGAGAAACTTTTTTTTTTTTTTTTTTTTGAGATGGAGTCTCACTCTGTCAGCCAGGATGGTCTCGATCTCCTGACCTCGTGATCCGCCCTTCTCGGCCTCCCAAAGTGCTGGGATTACAGGCTTGAGCCACCGCGCCCAGCCGAAACCAACTTGGTTTTTCAAAGTACAAAATGCTGCATGAGATACAGAGCTTGTGGAATTTGGGTTATTTATCTTAAAATAGTGCATGCCACACCTAGTCGGCTGGGGGATGTTTTTCCAAACACACTAAACAAACCCCTTGCAGAGAAAGGGCGATGGTGCCCATGTGCCGGTGCCCAGAGAAGCCATCAGATTAGCAGGTGACACTGCTTCTCCTTGAGACGCAGGTGGCCATCAGTGCTCAGCCAGCACCCTTACTGATCAGCACCGTCTGCCTGGACTTCACACAGAACTGAGCTGCAGAGACAGACACTTTGGTTCACGTCCCAGCTCTGCCACTGACACCTTGAGAAGACTATGTAATCTGCCTGTGCCTCAGTTTCCTTACCATGAAGGATGATGGCAGCACTGAGATATGAGGGTTCAGGCTCCAGCTCCAGCACCTGCTCCCAACCCCTCTCACCATCACCCTCCTGCCACATCAAACGAGGGAGCTGACACCCATTCCTTAAGCGGTTCCTCCAGCTTTAACATCCACGGCTGCTGCCTTCCGACTTGCTACTTCCTCTCATCTGTGTTTCCTGCCTGCGAGCAGGCCCCCCAGCTGGAGGCCTCCTAAACCCAAACATTTATTCCCACCCCATGGGCCCACTCTGATACTGAAGCACAAGTGGGAGTAGTGTCCATTCGGGGGAAACCCAGGCCAAACCCCATCTGCCTGCAACCACCGTGGTGTGGGCATGAAGGGCACACCAAGAGCCAGGGACTCAAATGGGGCCCATGGAGACACAGCACTGGCATGACAAGGCCATGGCCGCCAAGCCACGGCGTGCAAAGCATCTGAGGTCCTGGGCCTACGCCCTGCCCATGGCTGCCTTGCCCCGTCACACCCCAAATCCCTGTGCCATCTGTGCCTCACCTCTTCTGTGCCCATGTTTAAATCTTTTTGTTGCTGTTGCTCCTCTAGAATCTTCCTGGCAAACTCCTATTCATTCTTCAAAACCCAGCTGGTGCAGGCATCTCTGAACTCTGGGGGTAATCACACTCTTCTCAGCCCTGTCTTCTTCCTGCAGTCCTCACAATCATTCATGACCACTTCTCCCATTTCCCCTCGGGCTCCTACCCGGCCCCGAGAGGGCACACAGTTTACAGACTGGACGTGACGCTTTTGGCCCGTAAACCCTCAAATGCAGCCTTAAAGAAGGAAGATAAATGCAAGCAAATGCAAAGGCTGAGGAGGGGCCTCTGGTAGATGAGGAGGGAGCATCGGGCTGGGAGTCAAAGATACCGGGCTACAGAGGAAGGAAGCCGCCACAGAACACGCCACTGACGCCACACAGAGCACCGACAGCCATGTTCAAGCCCGTTCTTATCCCACGGACAAACGGGGCCAGCAGATGTTTCAGACTAAGGAGGGGTTTATCACATCAATACGGAGCAGGATGACCTGGGGGAGCAGGGCTCATCTGGGAGCCCCCAGAAAGGAAATGCAGAGGTTGCCCTGAGGGCCGAACGTACACAGCCCCTCTGGGACAAGAGAGCTGCAGGACACTCACTGAGTCCACACTGCAGGGTGTGCTGACGAAGCTGTTCAGGAGACACAGGGAAAGAGTTCCTCCCTGACCTCTGCCTCCTCTGGGAAGAACCAGCCCTGCATCCTGAGCCAGAGAATGCCTGGCCTGCCCAGCCGTGCCCCGTCAGCCCCCACAGCACGCCACACTGCAAAACCACCGTCACCTGCCACAGGCCGTGGGCTGCCACCTGCCGCATGTTCCTGAGGCTAAGCATACAGCCGGTTTGACCCGGAGCAGAGGGACAGAGGTACAGCCTCCCAGGAACCCGGGAGTCAGCGGTTGTTCATTCTCCCTCCATTCAACAACCGCGGGCGGGGCTCAGGCTCCTGGCTTTCTGCGTGTCACGGTGCCCAGCAGATGACCCTCCCTGCAGGGTGTGTGTGGCATCCTGCCTCCTTCCCTTGGCTCGGCCTCTCCCCCAGCCCACCCAGGTAAAAGGTTCGCAGGGAAGGGCAGAA